ATGAGAGGAGTGAACAAACATTGGACAGAACTAGAGAGAGAAGCCCAGGACAGAGTTGGCTGGCGAAAACTCGTGGGCGGCCTATGCTCCATTGTGGGTAACAGGCGTAAGTACGTAAGTATTTAAGTTTACGACCATTACATTTTCATTCACCTGAAATTGCCTGACAAACTCTTCATCAGTTAGGAATCCAAAATTAATAAACATTTCTCATGACTATAACCTAGCTGTTTGAAATAGACACACAAGAAAGCATAACTAGGATAATAGCCATGACGATTTGTTACCAAACCCGAAAAATCACAGTAATTGCTAAAGTAGGCTATTCATCATACGTTTCTGATTGATCATGGGGCAAAGGGACAAGGTAGATCGAACATGTTCCATACTATTAGTATCGTGATTCCCCTTCGAAATAAACAGCCTTATTATTATGTGCTTTATTAACGAACGACCTCTCTGTGATCGCTCTAATTGCGGTGTCCTTGTCAATGGATACCTATTTTGGTTCTATTTTTCCTAACTGAACTCTGTGTCATTACATATAACTATAGTCCAGTTATTCTACTAAATTTTCTGGCACAACACTTAGAGTTGTTTCACTATCTCTACACAGCTCATTTTCTCATTTTGTGGAGCACATTTAAGTTTGACCCGCTTCGATTAATATTACTATATCCAGTCAGTCAGCTACAAAGTACAACTTCGAATGTACGTACAATTAGTTCAAGTTGCCATACGAAATCAGCAAGGAGACGCAACTGTCAGTTCAGATCCCACCATATTAGAGGTAGTAAAAGTACTAGTAGTAATAGGAGAGATCAGGGTTCGAAAATATTATTCAAGAAGTATAATCTAGTGAAATAAACTTAAAAAGAGAAAGATACAGGTGATGAAGAATACAGAGGATTAGGATTTGAGAAGAGACAATGATTGGATGCACCTGTGATATTGCAAACGGTCTTAAGCCATGTCATTCATGGTCTCTAACCATTGATTATTATCATATTGCGGACCCCAACCAGGTAGTCCACATCTACCAACATGATTCGATCCAGTTGTCAGTGACTTCATGGATTTCTGCCATGTTTTGGTTTGACTGCCACTGACTTCCGTCTAACCTACTCCTGCGCCACAAAACATCGCTCGTCGAGACAATCGATGGTTGGGCATACGTAACACATGCCCCAACCATCTCAACTGATGAAGTTTCAATACTTCATCTATTGATCTGCCATCCCTACCTAGTACTCGTTTCCTACCGAAGCATTGCTTGCTTCGTTGTCCCAAGATACACGGTCAATGCTTCGGGCGCTCCTATGACTGAAAACCAGTAACCTACAAATATCTTCTACTCCCACTGGCCATGTTTCACAGCCATAAAGTAAGACGGAGCGAACCACTGCACAGTACACTCATCCTTTAGTCAGCAAACGGATATCTCGCCTACGCCATAAGTGATGCAAGTTGGCAAAAACCAATCGAGTCTTCTGTATCCGTGCTGAGACTTCGTCACACACCAGGTCATCAGGACTGATGAGACTCCCGAGCTAAGTGGAGCGGTCAACATTCTCAACTACTTCACTCCCTATCACTAGTTCAGGTGCCAATGAAACCCAATCTTGAAGCAACATTTTGCATTTCTAGGGGGAAAACCGCATCCCAAACATGCTTGCATTGTTGCTTAGGGTGGTCAGAAGACGCTGCACTTTGTCAGCATCTTCACCAAGTAGGACTATATCATCAGCATATTCTAATTCAATAAGCGATTTTCCTGGTAGAAGGTCTAACCCTGAAAGGCAAACGAAGATAAATTTAACTCTTAAAGCATGTCAGTGACATAGTTAAACAAGAATGTAGAGAGAGGACATCCCTGACGGACAATAAGTAGAGAATTCCGATAACAGTCCGCTATAAGCTCTCATCCGACCAGTAGTTTTAGAGTACAGAGCATGTATATGGTTAATGTACTTCTTTGGTCCACCATTCAATGACACTGCCACAGAACCTCATGATCCACAGGGTCAAATGCCACCTTAAGGTCCAGGAAGACGACTATTGTAGGACGCTTAAGTGTGTGTCTGTGTTCCTGGACCTGTAGTAGTGTAAAGATGTGGTCTATACAGCCACGTCCGGGTCTGAAACCAGCATTCTGTCAGCGTCTTCACCAAGTAGAACTATGTCATCAGCATACTCTAAGTCAGTATGCGTGTCTGCTGGTAGAAGCTCCACTCCTGAAAAGGTAACTCTAAAAGCATGTCAATGACAAAGTTAAAAAGGAATAAGGAGAGTGGACAGCCCTGACGGACACCACTTGAAGTAAAGAATTACGATGACAGTTCGCCATAAGCTCTCACTCGACCAGTGATGTTCGAGCAGAGAGCCTGTATAAGGTTAATGTACTTCCCTAGTAAACCTTTCAATGACAGACTAGTCAGATGGGATTACTCCCAGTTCCCAAATTCTACCTGAGATCTCAGTCAATTTAACTGCAAAAACTGGACCACCATCCTCAAAAATCTCAGAGGTCGTTCTATCAGGACCCGCTGCTCTCCCTCGCTTTAGATTTTCCATAGCTTCCTCAACTTCATAAAGAGTCGGAGGACTTACATTGATTTGCCACTCAGGTTAACCTGACATCGTGAGCAACTGAAGTGTGGCTGAAGGTCAGTTGAACTGATCTTTAAAGTGCTCTGCCCATCGACTCAATCTCCTGGATTGAGAATGAATAACATTTCCATCCTTCTCCGAGATAGTCTCACTTACAGTCGGATTCTTAATACCGGTTTCCTTGATAAGTTTGAACAGTTGTCTACTGTTACCTATCATCGCTGCGTCTTCCATCTCTCTCGCTTCCGCTAACCACCACTGTTCGCGATCTTTGCGTAGACTTCCTATCAGCCTGTGCTTCAGGTTACCTCGCTCTTCGTCATGTTCAGAGCCAGGTGGGAGGTGTTTCCGAGCATCTCTCAGTTCGGTAGATGCTACTGAGATCCATAGCTTATCCCTAACCTTATGGTTTATCTTACTAGCAGATATCATTGCTGTTCCTACAGCTTTTTGGATATCATTCCAAGCTGCCTCGGGGTGTTAATCATTTAGTTGGCCTCATAAGTGCTTTTCTAGTTGCTTCTGAAACATATTTTTAGCTCTGCTGTCATTAAATAGAACCCAAGGAGGCTTCCTTGCGGTGCTATCTACGTCCGTTAAGCCGCAAACAAACATGCGCTCGCACTAGGCATGATGTGAATCTAAACATGTGACCCAGAACGAGCGACAGTCCTCTACTGAACTCCTCTGTCAGCGGCTAATAGCGATATGATCTAGAGCGTCATGCGCTGGATCAACGTTGGCGGCCGCCACGTCAAAAGATGCTTTTCCTTGTGCTTAACGTTAGTTTTTGCTAGAAATAGGTTATCTGAGCACAGTTGCAACAGACGGTCGCCATTATCAGTCCTTTGAGCCGCGAAACCATAAGATCCACCCAGGTGCTTTTCCTTTTCACTCAGTCTACCTATCTGAGCGTTATAGTCATCAGCCATTATTACTACATCAGAGCGCCTAGCTTTTTGGAGGAGGTCCGTAAGCTTTCTGTAGAACTCATCTTTCACTTCGTCTGAACTGCAGCCAGTGGGACCGTAGGCAGATACGACGAAGAAGTAACGGCGAGTTTCCCTACTTTTACAACTCCTTACTGTCCCTTTTAGTTGAACAGCACACAAACGGCTATCTACTGGGATCCAATCTAAGAGAGCTAGCTCTCCCCTAAGACTCAAAGCCATACATACAACAGCGAGGCCACGGGAATCAGCAGATACAAACCTAGTTGATTCTCTATCTGGACAAAATCAAATCAAATTAATGATTTTACTCGGATCCTGTATGAGTGTTTCGGAGACGCAGAATACATGGATGACGCGAGATTCTAAACTCCTACCTAAGGAAGCCTGTTGCCCCATTTGATACAATGTTCGGACATTAAAAGCTCCAACATGTAATCTAGAACGGGGTTTCAGGAGACCAAGAATAACGTTTCATGAACTCGAATCATTTGCATTAGTGTTTTAAGGTGATAAACGGATTTGGGAAATGTGAGTCGTGGAGATAGGAGATTTTAAGGGATGTAGGAAGGATTTGATTGTGACTAATTTGGTCTCATGTGCTTTTACAGGTATGAGGGCGGATATCACTTCCCGGCTGTCCACACTGTGGAAGAGTGTTTCTTGAGGAACCTGAAAACGAAGGTAGATTAGTGTTGCTCTTAGAGACCTGGGAGCGTGAAGGCAGAACCCAAGGGACAACTGCTTGAGGCCGGTCACGCACGGCCTTTGTATGGGAAGTTTTTAAGTTTTAGCTCCGCTCTCCAAGTGATAGTACCCCCGGACACGGAGACCCATAGGGTGAGGTGAGTTGTGACGTTTTTAGGGTCGACCTTTTCTAACCCCCACCTTCCTTGTTAGAAGGCAGCATCGCTGCAGATGCTGGTTGTCCGAGGGAAACACCTTACTGATGTCACACCCCTCTGCAGTCAGCAGTACGATTTCGCACTCAGACCTTGAGTTGCTACTTTCAGTCTGACTGTTCTCCCATAGACGTGCCTAGCATGGTAGAACCTGCAGGAACATATGTTCCAGTCAATATAGTTCGGTTGGGTCATCGCGATAGCCAAGCCCGACCACCACGTCAAGGTTGTAGTTAGGGTCGGGATTTATATGTCCAAGTAAGTACATTTAGGACACAATGAAATAAAATGTACATTATACTCTTATCATACTATTTCTAACTATTGATAAAACCTTTGACAGACAATAAGAAAAATGAATGAGTACTTCGGGGAGCACACAATTTCCCACCATTAAGGGGCTAGATAATAGTATTACGATACAAAAATCATGACCAAGTATGAAGGAAAACTCAAATGTTATGTCATTTATTTAGTCTTGATAATATCCAGTTAATTATGGATAACATATATAATTCGAATATCTGGCTAAACTTACTAAAGCATCTGATCGTATACAGGAACCATTTTACAGATGTCGACCAACGCCATACCCTACATATCAATAATAAATATAATCATCAGGATGCTGAATTTAACAGACTTTGTTGTAAAGCGGTTATCGATAATGGATACAAACCTTTAAATTTATATTTTCGTTTTGTAGAAACGATTATTCGTCACCTAAGAATGGTGACAGATTTTACTTAAGGACCAACCTGTGTCAATGAAACCGACTATAAGTTCAGAAGTTATCTAAACAGTTTATCTGTGACATATTTATATAAACCAAAGGGAAAACGTAGATAAATACGGATTTAACAGTTTGTAGAATACATCCGATTAGTCTGAAAAACGACAACAAGACTGCTGAACAAACAGAAAATATCATTCAACTACGATTTAGATAGAAGATAACATTTGATCAAAGGTATATTTCCTTCTAAAACAAATAATTTATGTACATAAACATCTTTGAATAAGATTTCTGGTTTTTAAGTCAAATGAAAAGTCCACAACGCGATTCCAGTAGACACCTTTCTATAAAAACCGCAGGTGAAATACCACAAGCTCCAGCAGTCAGTTGACAAGAAAGACCTACAGACTTAGTTGTTTGACTGGAGTCTTCAACTTTTGAAACGTTGATTTTATTATCAGCATCGTTACTCTCGTCACTATCATACTCTTTTTTGATTCGATCATCTAGAAAACTTTCTTCCGTCTTGTAATTTGGTTTAACATCAACAACGGTCTCTCTACCGAAATCTCCATCCTTAAATTCGTCTTCAGTCTCTAATTTCTGCTTGATTTCAGAAGTATATGTAGATGTTTGTCCTTGATGATTGAGCCTAGCAATTACAGCTTTTTCATACATTTGAAGAACATCAGTCCAACGAATATGCTGATTACTGGAAAGTGGTGGCATAGGACCACATAGCTCAACTAAGTAAGGTTCATAAACAAACTGAAGTTTAGCTGTATGATTTTTAGTGTTTTGACCCTAAAAAACAACGTGATAAAACTGAGTAACTATTTCGTTAGTAAAAAAGTAATAGTAATTATAAAAGCAATGATTGCTTAGGGAATGAGAGAGGTTTATGGATTTTTCTGTGTCTTTTTATAAAATACATCTGATTAAACAAAACACATTCGGTTGGAAGTATATTTCATAGTTAGATGGGAAACCCTAGGAGAAGTTAAGCTGTTTTCAAATGCCTCATTTGTCAACTAAATTTTTATGCGTTTAGCTTTGAGCTACACTTTATTGTGCACGGGTTACTGACATCAGTCGGATGCCTAAAAAAAGACATACTATAGTACAATAGTGTTATGACAGTTAAAATCATCCGACTTTAGACCGATAGGTTACAAGTTCTGACGAAAATAAAGCAAGTTTACTGAATCAGTGTCAGGATTCCATCAAGCACCGACAAATTAGGAGTAATGAGACGCGAAGTGACCAACGCGCTTAACTACTTTGCTCCCTATTACTAGTCTAGGCACTGAAGCAGATAAAAAGCATTAATAGACAGATGCATTGCAAACAAACTCGTGTTGTTACTCAAGATGATCAGAAGAATATCTTGTCACATCTATTACCAGACAAAACTATTTGACCTGTGGATCTAAGTCGATTGGTGGATGTTCTAGAAGAAGGCTAGTCTCACCCGGACAGCAAGATTACATGAAGTAAACGAATTGCAAAGGCACTGAAATAATGGTTTTGTTAATAGACAGGAATATCGAATGTTGAAAACATGATTTGAAAGGAGTACTGAACTTCAAGATTTGAGGAAAAATAAATAGTGAATCCATTCGCACTAGTTTGATGGATTATGAGCTATATCACCCAACGGATGTGAATTGGCAGTCTAATAAAAACGTAATAAGTCTCTCTGTGGATGATAATCTGTTCCGGCACTCAAAATATTTCTAATAATTAGTTCCTTCCGTTTCAGTAGGCTACTTTACCAGTATTTTCCCCCCATTAAGTAACCTTGTTAGAAGTCTAAGACTTGTGGATTAGAAGCCGAATGCTATAACGACTAATTCGCCACTCTATATCTAATATCTATATCCAGAAAAACAACATGAAAAGACTTTAAACTATATATATCAAAATAGAAGCAAACGTACTGCATTTTGGCTGGGAATCAAAACAGTGTCCTGCTGCTTGCGAATAGAAGACGTGGGAGGAAGTTGTATCATATGATGTGCTCCACTGATCCAGTTGTTTGTGAGACTACCAGTGGGTGGAGCTATGGGGAGCATGGAAGGTGGTGCCATAAAGCCGCTCACAGGAGTAACTAGTGGGCGTACTGGGAACGCAGAACTGGGTGCATGTCCCGTGGCCTGGGTAGGTGGTGGTATGAATGAAGGAGGAGCGTACACTGATGGTGGAACAAATGTTGTAGGCATTCGGTGTCCAAAAGCTGAGGCAGGTGGAATGAGCATATTTGTTCGGGGTGTTGGGGGAATACTGTTCTTTCTTTTTTCTCCTTCAGATTCAGTTGTTATTGAACCATTAGGATCATTAGAGCCATGGTTATTTTCTAGTCCTTTTAGAGTTCCACCTTCCTCTTCTTCCTCGCGTTCTCGCTTTTCCCTCAACATACATTCCCGTTCTAATTCGGAATCGTAAAACGCCATCGAGGAGGACTGCAAAAGAAAATTGAATGAAAGAGGGGAAAACTCATTTGGAAAATAGTTACTTTCAGAATTACGTTTCAATACTGAATTACCTTATACTGTTTTTATATAAGAATCAAGAAGCATAAAATACATTCAGGAAGCAACGACTTTGTCTCATTAGGATTCATACGCTTTTATTCAACTTTATATGTATCTGACCGGTGAAGAATAAATTTTTCAAATTTGTAAAAAAGTACTCCACTCCAATGTGACCTGAAAATAACTAGGCAACCGTATTTTTTAGCTCCTCGCTACTGTATAAGATGTTTGATAGCGAGCAGTGATTTTACTGAAATCGAAGAAAGCTCCGTTCGAATCAATTGGTAACCAGCAAGGTTTCAAAGATACCAGTTTTTATTTCCCTCCAAAACATGACTCTTTTTTCATATTAGGTTTGAAAAAGTAAATGCACACCCTATCGACATACAGTACACTTTTGTAATTCTATCCAATTTGGCACATACAAAAACCACCCTCACTATATCTCACAAAATTAAGCGTAAACAACATACTTGGAATGTAACTTCAAAGTAATTAACAAAGTATCACTGCCATGGAATAAAACGAACATTTTTAATCCCATAGAGATATGTCCCTCTAAGTGACTTTTCAAACGCTGTCGTTAAATCTAAATGTTTATTATTTATTCAAAAACACAAATTCCAACACAATCAGGCACCGAAACAAATGATGTTCTAAAATAAAAGAAGGAAAGGAGGTACAACCACTAAATTAACAAGCAAGGGATCTAAAGAGTAATATGATTCACTTGATAATATCTTCAAGAGTAATTTTCAATTAAGGGAGTTTCTCTCAATTCCGCGAAAAACATCACAAGAAACTACGACTGCATTGCTACTAGGTTATATTTTGAGCCACATTTAATGACGTCTCAAGCCAATGAGTTGCACCATCTCTTGTACTCCAGACGCAAAATCATGATTGATCAACAGATTCTAGTCCTCCATATACCGCTTTCATACCCCGGTACCACATCAAAAACTGAGCAACTGAGCTCTTCCAGGCAAGTCTCAGTGTTGGAAAATAACAGATGAAGTGGAAGTCATTGGAATGACATTCATGATGCGTGTCTAAGCAATTGAAGCCAGCGTCTCGAAATGGTGGAACCGAATGAACACATATTGTCAAAAATCAGCAATACCGACATGGTATTGTTATAGAATGTAGAAGTCCTTCGGAGAAAACGATGACCGAACAAAACTTAATTGCGAATCCCCAACTCGGAGACCACGTTTCACAAACCCGAGAAAAAACCGCCCTCACAGAACTGCTGTAGACCCGACCATTTGCAGCCAAATTAACATCATGACGATGTTGAATATGGCCCAGGTTAGTTTAAGTCATCCCGACTTTACTAAACGTAAACTAATTTCACTTGTCACAAACAACACTCTCACAACTACCAACGTACCTCAAACTTCTGACTACCTCTGACGGCTCCGCACAGAGTACAAACAAATGTCTCTAACTGTCTTGAAGTATTTTGCATTTACGAAAAAAACTACATGCCGGATTTACAGAAGCTAATTATTCACTGATCGTGTTATTTGGACAGCTTGAGTCATTCGGATAATCAAGATACGTCTTTCCCCTGGAAAGCGATTCACACAACCACATGCAGTTACGAGGCCAAATAAATGATTAACACCCCGAGGCAGCTTGGAATGATATCCAAAAAGCTGTAGAAACAGCAGTGATATCTGCTAGTAAGATAAACCATAAGGTTAGGGATAAGCTATGGATCTCAGTAGCATCTACCGAACTGAGAGATGCTCGGAAACACCTCCCACCTGGCTCTGAACATGACGAAGAGCGAGGTAACCTGAAGCACAGGCTGATAGGAAGTCTACGCAAAGATCGCGAACAGTGGTGGTTAGCGGAAGCGAGAGAGATGGAAGACGCAGCGATGATAGGTAACAGTAGACAACTGTTCAAACTTATCAAGGAAACCGGTATTAAGAATCCGACTGTAAGTGAGACTATCTCGGAGAAGGATGGAAATGTTATTCATTCTCAATCCAGGAGATTGAGTCGATGGGCAGAGCACTTTAAAGATCAGTTCAAATGACCTTCAGCCACACTTCAGTTGCTCATGATGTCAGGTCAACCTGAGTGGCAAATCAATGTAAGTCCTCCGACTCTTTATGAAGTTGAGGAAGCTATGGAAAATCTAAAGCGAGGGAGAGCAGCGGGTCCTGATAGAACGACCTCTGAGATTCTTGAGGATGGTGGTCCAGTTTTTGCAGTTAAATTGACTGAGATCTCAGGTAGAATTTGGGAACTGGGAGTAATCCCATCTGACTAGTCTGTCATTGAAAGGTTTACTAGGGAAGTACATTAACCTTATACAGGCTCTCTGCTCGAACATCACTGGTCGAGTGAGAGCTTATGGCGAACTGTCATCGTAATTCTTTACTTCAAGTGGTGTCCGTCAGGGCTGTCCACTCTCCTTATTCCTTTTTAACTTTGTCATTGACATGCTTTTAGAGTTACCTTTTCAGGAGTGGAGCTTCTACCAGCAGACACGCATACTGACTTAGAGTATGCTGATGACATAGTTCTACTTGGTGAAGACGCTGACAGAATGCTGGTTTCAGACCCGGACGTGGCTGTATAGACCACATCTTTACACTACTACAGGTCCAGGAACACAGACACACACTTAAGCGTCCTACAATAGTCGTCTTCCTGGACCTTAAGGTGGCATTTGACCCTGTGGATCATGAGGTTCTGTGGCAGTGTCATTGAATGGTGGACCAAAGAAGTACATTAACCATATACATGCTCTCTACTCTAAAACTACTGGTCGGATGAGAGCTCATAGCGGACTGTTATCGGAATTCTCTACTTATTGTCCGTCAGGGATGTCCTCTCTCTACATTCTTGTTTAACTATGTCACTGACATGCTTTAAGAGTTAAATTTATCTTCGTTTGCCTTTCAGGGTTAGACCTTCTACCAGGAAAATCGCTTATTGAATTAGAATATGCTGATGATATAGTCCTACTTGGTGAAGATGCTGACAAAGTGCAGCGTCTTCTGACCACCCCAAGCAACAATGCAAGCATGTTTGGGATGCGGTTTTCCCCCTCGAAATGCAAAATGTTGCTTCAAGATTGGGTTTCATTGGCACCTGAACTAGTGATAGGGAGTGAAGTAGTTGAGAATGTTGACCGCTCCACTTAGCTCGGGAGTCTCATCAGTCCTGATGACCTGGTGTGTGACGAAGTCTCAGCATGGATACAGAAGGCTCGATTGGTTTTTGCCAACTTGTGTCACTTATGGCGTAGGCGAGATATCCGTTTGCTGACTAAAGGACGAGTGTACTGTGCAGTGGTTCGCTCCGTCTTACTTTATGGCTGTGAAACATGGCCAGTAAGAGTAGAAGATATTTGTAGGTTACTGGTTTTCAGTCATAGGAGCGCCCGAAGCATTGACCGTGTATCTTGGGACAACGAAGCAAGCAATGCTTCGGTAGGAAACGAGTACTAGGTAGGGATGGCAGATCAATAGATGAAGTATTGAAACTTCATCAGTTGAGATGGTTGGGGCATGTGTTACGTATGCCCAACCATCGACTGTCTCGACGAGCGATGTTTTGTGGCGCAGGAGTAGGTTAGACGGAAGTCAGTGGCAGTCAAACCAAAACATGGCAGAAATCCATGAAGTCAATGACAACTGGATCTGAAGCGAGGGCGAGCTGCATGTCCTGATAAAGTGACCCCTGAGATATTTAAGGATGGTTGACCAGTTTTAGCAGCTAGGTTGACTGAGATCTTAGATAGAATCTGGGAACTGGACGTAACCCCATCCGAGTGGTCTCAATCAGTGATTAAGCCCAATCCATAAGAAAGGACAGAAGTCTTCTTGTGACAATCACAGGGGAATAAGTCTAACTAATATAGTATCTAAAATATTGGTCTCAATAATACTTCGACGCTTAACGAAAGCTCGTGAAGAGCAGATTAGAGAAAACCAGGCTGGTTTTCGACCTGGACGTGGTTGTATAGACCACATTTTCACACTACGACAGGTCCTGGAACATAGACACATATTTAGGCATCCTACAATAGTTGTTTTCCTGGACCTTAAGGCGGCATTTGACTCTGTGGATCGTGAGGTTCTGTAGCAGTGTCTGTCACTGAAATGTGTACCAAAGGAGTACATTAACCTTATACAAGCTCTCTACTCGAACACCACTGGTCGAGTGAGAGCTAATGGCGAACTGTCATCGTAATTCTTTACTTCAAGTGGTGTCCGTCAGGGATGTCCACTCTCTCGATTCTTGTATAATTTTATCATAGACATGCTGCTAGAAATAACCTTATCCTCGTCTGGATTTTCAGGAGTAGACCTACCAGGTGGCTCGATTACTGACTTAGAATATGCCGATGACATAGTCCTACTTGGTGAAGACGCTGACAAAATGCAGCGTCTTCTGACCACCCTAAGCAACAATGCAAGCATGTTTGGGATGCTGTGACGAAGTCTCAGCACGGATACAGAAGGCTCAGTTGGTTTTTGCCAACCTGCGTCACTTATGGCGTAGGCGAGATATCCGTTTGCTGACTAAAGAACGAGTGTACTGTGCAGTAGTTCGCTCCGTCTTACTTTATGGCTGTGAAACATGGCCAGTGAGAGTACAAGATATTCGTAGGTTACTGGTTTTCGATCATAGGTGTCTTCGAAGCATTGCTCGTATATCCTGGGACACCCGAGTGAGCAACGCTGTTATTAGGAAACGGGTGATAGGTAAGAATGGCAGATCAATAGATGAAGCATTGAAACTTCATCATTTAAGATGGTTGGGACATGTGTTGCGTATGCCCAACCACCGACTTCCCCGTCGAGCTTTGTTTTGTAGTGTAGGAATAGGTTGGAAGAAAGTTAAGGGAGGCCAAACCAAAACATGGCAGCAATCCATGAAGTCATTGACGAGTGCACTTAGCCATATCGGTAATTGTCGACTACCTGGTTGGGGTCCGCGAGATCATAATAATCGATGGTTAGAGACCTTGAATGACATGGCTCAAAATCGTTCGCAATGGCGCCAGTGCATTTATTCTTTGTGTTCTCTCAAATCCTAACCTTCTGGGTTCTTCAACACCTCTAGTTTTGACTTTCTAAACTTTTCTCACTGAATCATACTTCTTGAATAATATCTTCTAATCCTAACCTCTTAGATTACTTCTGATACCTTTACTACCTCTTCTACTATTGGATTTGAATTGACAATTACATCTCTGTGCTGATGTGGTATGGCGACATGAACTGATGTACTTACGTACGAAGTTCTACGTTGCATCTGACTGACTGACTGACTATCTGAACTTTGTGACTTATGACGCTTCAGAAGTCTGAGTTATTTATGGACCATTGGCTCAGTTAAAAGGCAATAGAAAAATTATTGAGTAATACAAAACTGTTTAAAAACAAAATAAACTTGGGAACGCCGAAGAAATCAATCATATTACAAGTAAGAGTTAGCACAAACGTATGCGAGTTTCAACCACTAAACCTCATATCAGTAAAATAAGAACCAAGATGAGAAGCGTAGAGAAGCAGACTCAGGTACAAATGAGCGTCATTTCAGCTTACTATACTATATGTGCACAATAAGAACGAATCAGCAAGGTGAATATTGAAAAACTCGGGAAAGGTGTATTATGGTGGTCAGAAATACCAAATATTAAAAATATGCCTCAGAATGAAATTATTTATGAAGAAAAACTAAAGCTCAAAGTTCTTCAACCATTGATTGCAATTATATAACGAACTGCAACCAGGTATTTTTAAATGATAGCACAACTGTCTAGCAGTCAATAATACATATTGGCTCGACCATTCTGAGATTTGTTTCAATTTGTTTATATTCCAGCCAACAGTGGAGGTCAAGGTAGATGGTAGTTGAGTATAACAGTAATGTCGTCCGAGATAGACATCTAGATATAAGACATTTAGCTCGAAAAGAAAAATTTGGATTAAACTGTCAAAAGTTGAGGACAGTTTATTTAATATTCATAAAAAGATACAGAATGAATGCAGTTGCGCTGACCCAATGTATGTCTCTTGTTTGGACAACTGGATAGTAAGGCCAGATATCAACTGAAATGGGGCACAAAGAGTACATAAATCTGTACTTGGCATATGGGTAAATTACGACAGTCTGTGGATGTCACTTGATACCAAACACAGATTACAACTATTGCACTTTTCCTTCCCAGAACTTATGAGCTTGTCGACATGGCTCAGGAAAGAGCAGATGGATTAATAAACTGATGCTAGGTCAGTTGCTGTAGCTTGAATTTTCTTTTGGATATAGACCCACCACAGCTGATAACTCAGTAAAAGTAAATCAATAAATATCTTCAACCACCTCACTCCCTGAGTCTGATCTAACCAACTGCATGAAGCCCTTCCGAAAAAAAAACAATAATTTCAGGAACCAATCCAAGAGTTATTGCAGTCATCTAAGGTAGTTAGAACGTTTTAATCAACGTTTTCGCCAGATGTCCTCTATGGTCGTTGAAATATACTACAAAGGCGCTTAAGAAAGTTTATCATGTATAATCAAACCATGTTAGTTTTACGTGACATGTGGAGTGAATTAAGGAAAGTTACCGTACATCGCGACCTAATTTACTGTATTCCCCAGTACATCTGACATAAATGACAGAGAATGCAATAATAAAGCAGAGAAAGACAATACAATTAAGACGAAACTAGGATCAAGACTGCAGATGAGAGACTTGTCAACCACATGCACTCAAGTACAAGGTTTTGACCAGTATGAATTGTGTCGATTTGCGATCTACCACGTTATTCAAAGTAACAATTAATTTATGTCAACTACTTTATAGATCAAGGCTGTATATTTCAACTACTGAGCAGCCGCTGCACTTGAGTGAGAAGATACGAAAGAAGCACCACTGTTTACAGAATTGCATTCAATGTCAATTTTTGTGACTACTTGGTCAGAACTACGAACAATCTCATATAACTAGGGCAAGGGTAACTAACATATTAGGGTAAATGTAATCATGGTAATAACTCACTGGTCTGGTTCGGTTTTTCTTGATTATCTCTTTGTTTTCTTTCTTATAGTTCTCAATATAACGTTTAGTTTCTTCGACATTTATATCGTTTGTGAGGTTGTAAACTACAAGATCCATCGAAAATCGAAATTCATACTTAAACTTTCTACTTTTTCTAAATAGAGATTGTACTCTTCCAAGCAATCAAAATCATCTTCACGTTTGTTAAAACTGCCCTTAAGTCCATTCAGAAATGTTAACATACTCGCTTAGTAACTTTTTACGAATATCTATTTCCTTTTGTACTAGAGGGTCTTCAAACAGCTGATAGCGGAAATTTGTCTTGCGTATTGGAGTTTTGCATTGGGCACACAAACCGGAACCTCGAACAAATAGTACTTCAACGCAATTTTCACACCTCAAGTGAACATCATGAATATCGTCTACACTTACAAAGAGTGACCACATACGTTTACCATCAGTTTTAACTGTGGATTACTGTATTTGCTAGATCTGCAGCTTGGACATGTCTGAGACTGGTCAATCATCCGGACGACAATCTCCTGACCTTGAAAATGTTAAACTCCCCCTCCAACCAGATGTAAGAATATTCAATACTTTGTGACGAGCTAGTATAAAGTAGTTGAACCCTGAGTAATGGAATTTTGACTCTAGGGTCCAGATTCGAATCCTTCTTTGAACCCTGGAAAATCTGTATGTCCATACATTTGCAGTAGATTTGTGATGATTGATAAAGCTGGAAAAATAGTTTTTAATCTATTGACATTGACGATAACTTTATTGGTTCCAGTGTACAGCCTAGAGGTTAGCTCAAAATTGTCTGACTTAGAGAAGGAAAAGTGTGACTTTTTTCATGTTATAAAACTATTTATTAATATATTTTTAGAACTGCGATACTGTTTTTGCATTATCAGATTTTTCTACCATTTATATATACTATTCTCGTTTTATTAGAATCCATACCTTAGCCTTTAGGAAATAGAACTCTTGCATCCCTCTCCGCTTAAATCATGTCATGCTGGTCTGAAGTAGACTAGTGGTAGGGCCACGTCAAGGACTTCCTTCAAGCTAGTTCCAGGAACCTGAATTTTCATCGGGAGCAAACACAATGCTTGGAACAAAAGGTATCTCCTCAGTAATCAGGCATTGCTCAATATTCGTACTCAGAAAATGAAATTTAATGGAACAATTCATCCATGAAATTCACAAAAAGTAACTACGAGTTTCTGGCTAAATTTGCGGATGTCATGAATATCCGGAATTGGACAACGCTTTTATCTGTAACACCTTCTAGATCGACGATACCCAAATACAAGTCAAGTCAAAAGTAAGGAATGAGGCGGATCAAGGGTATATTTTTATGACAGCTTGTATGTCAAGGAGTGGGTGAGCTGAGTTGCCTAGTTGACTCGAGGGGATGTGTTGCACGACGTACCCCACAGTTATCTGTCATGAATGCGTGATCGAATGCCTCCGGCTGGGTGTATCCAGCAAAACTAATGACGTCAGCACCGATGTCGAAGACTTGCAGGACTATTTATTTTCAAGATTTACTTTCATCTACAAACTTATGAGGAAAAAGTACATATTTCAAATATCCTGGATAGTAATTCCTTAAATATATGTGGCTCTCGTACAGAAGTTTTTAAGTTGTTTGTTATAGAATAGCAATCCAGTTCCAAGATCAAATATCCGAAATCTTTTTCACGAGCTAGCATACACTAATTGATGTCCTTGCTCTTGATACAGTTTCAGGTATTCGGTAGTTTCTATGGCAGATCTGAGCAATAACTCTTGCCCCATCTTTTTAGTGATAATACAATTTTGTAGTACTCCAAAAAGGAGGAAATAGAAGAAATTTTTGGGCTCCGAGGTTTCTTCAGTCTACTGGCTCAAAAAACTTCAGATAAAGGATTCTGAAAGAATATGCTGAACTTCTCTGATGCTCCTCTGGTACACCCTTTAAATGATCCTTAGTCAAATACAAACCCTCTGAGTGAAATATCTACCTACTGATTTCTTCTTTTCCTGCAATATTGAAGGCCACCGAAATAGTTTTCAAGGAGATTATCCTTAACTTCATTCTCGGTGAATCGGGTTTGCTGAGGTAGCAGCACGTTCTTTTACCTGATAGATCTTGTTATAAAAACCTTGGATAGCTAGATGATCTCACTAGAACAAAACCGTCCGGCGTAAACTGGCTTCCTTGAATCATGCAGGGCATTGGACAAGATTCACTACTACTTTCTGTATTAGGAACTATGTCACATGTGTATCAGACGGTGTAAGGAAAAATGTCTCCTGCGTTTCCTAAACAGGGAATTACAAGCTGTCAGATTTGCACTATTCTATGTAAAATAGAGGATTGGACGCATTTAGTTTGTCATTCGCGCTCAAGACTACAATAAGTCAAAAGAATATCCAAGTCAACTACTTACACCTGCAACTGCTAAAGGAGTGCGGGCCGCCTATCAGCATTCTCCAGCTAACTCTGTCTAGGGCCATACTCTTCAGTTCTGCACAATCTCTATTCTTTCTTTCCATGCCTGTTTCCAACTACGCGCAACGTGTCCCATAGTTTGCCTCTTCGCCGCTGTTACCGGTATTCTACTAAGCCAAGCTTTGACATGCCTACCTAGGCACCTACATTATGACTTGAAGGTTGATATTGAGAGAAAAAAATATACAATAAACAGTATCTGTTGTAAGATCCATTTTTGAAGGCTTTGCTTGTGCGAATACCTGAATGCATACATTTGTAATTTGTCCTAATTGATTCCTTCAGTTGTATATTTTGTTAGTCTGTTCGATTCCATATTGAGATGATAAGATTTGTATTTTATTATAGTTTCGATTTCTTTGCCTTCGGTGAGTTTCCACGTTTCCTTCTGCACTGCATTTATGTTGTTTAAGCTGATACTTAGTCATGGCGACAGTCATACTGATTTTTCCATCTTTTGATTGTGTAGCTTGCTCGGACTGTAATTGTGCATTTCGTTTGCGAATTGAAGCACTCTTCCAGAATCGGAAGCATTCTGTGTTAAAAGGCAACCGAAAAATATCTGTAGAACGAAACTGACCTATCCAGGAGGGACAGAATATCATTTTTCTGCTATTATTCTTTTTTCCTCTCTTTTCCTCCTTAGTTTCTTCTCAAGACCTTATCGGCAGTGAACAACCATTGTGCTTCTGCGCAAAGTGGACCTCACGTACGCGCTTACCAGGGTTATAGCTCAAGCGTCTTCCAATCGACACTTACTAACAATTATGAACTTACGGATCTGGTCCAGTACACAAAGACCCTTTGAGTAGATCTCCCCAAACAACTTCTCGTTAGTCACTCATGCATTACGCAAACTACTAAAGACCTTTGCAATGTACCAAGCCAATTTGTACGCGTATGTTCAAATTAGGGTTGCATCAAAATGTTCATGTCGGTGAAGTGGCATTAAGGCGTTTAGGGAAAATTTTTTATTATTATGCTAAATGTGCGACCGATTAACGCAAATCTTTCAACTTTCGTAACTATTTGATCTATCTACAAACTGGTGTGTGTCAAGTCTAATTCTGTTAGCTGAAAATAAATGTTATTATTTACATTGTGATTATTAATTCGAGTCTTCAAATTGGAATCAGATTCACCTTGTTTATCGATGATGCTCTCCGGGTATGAAAAGTTGCCTCGCCTACAAAACCATATGGATCAAGTGTGGGGGAAGCCTTATCATATCAAAGTATCTTGCGTCTTAAACGTATAAGTTGAGACAATCCTGCTGAGGCTACTGATGCAACTGCATTTTTTGCGAAAGCGATAATCGGGCCAGATCATCTGCCAATTTCAAATCCGACGACTGCGTATAAGCTGTTCACTGGAGAAAGTGAAAGGGTGTGAGTAAGCAACCTTACCTGACACCGGTCTTCAATTCGAATGAGTCTGTGAGCTGTCTTCCATGCACTATTTTGCAGTTTAATCCGTCATAAGAGTTCCGTGTGATATTGACTACCTTCTGAGGCAGGCCGTAGTATAGAAGAAGCCTCCATAGTGTCATCCTGTCAACACTACCAAATGCTTTCTCATAGTCAAGGAAGCTGATGGTCCGAAATGTTGCGATTTGTTCGTTACACGATCGATCCTTGCGAAATCCAGCTTGTTGATCTCGAAGTTGGGCTTCTGCAGAGTCTTACATTCTGTTTAACAATACCCTGTTGAAGACTTTGCCTAGTATTGAGGGAAGAGTGATGCCTCTGTAGTTTTCACACTTTCTGAGATCGCCTTTCTTTGGTGATTTGAACAGCTATCCTTCTTTTCATTCTATCGAGACTTGTTCTTCATCCCAAATCCTTTTAAAGTGTGTGGAGTGTTGAGCAGTTGCTGCCACGTCTGCTTTCATTTCCTCTGCCGGAATGTTGCCTGGTACTGCCGCTTTGCTGCCTTTGATTTGACTGATGGCCATGCTGAATTTTATCAGGAGTACCATCGGAGATCCATTCCCTGTGATGGTACCTCCTGACATGTTAAAGTGATTGCCTCCTTAATCCCTTCTCAATTGTTCTCCAAGGTGGTTTCCTCTCCATTGAGTATATCGTGCAAGGCCTGGAACTTATTGCTGAGGGCTACCTTGAATTCACTGAGCTTTCCAGTATCCCGAAGAAAAGTTGTATTAAACTCCTGTGATGTTTTCTGCCACGTTGTCCAGTGTTTCTTGAGTTCCGGGTTCATCTTGGTAACCAGCAGGTGATGATCTAAGGCTATATCACTCCTCTCACAATATTCATGGTCCTTCGGAACTTTTTATTAATACAGATATGGTCGATTTGGTTTTGTGTGGTGTGATCCGGTGAGGTCCATGTAGCTTTGTTCGTGAGTGTGTGGGAATATTTGCCGCCAAAGAGCAGCTTGTTGAAGGCACATAGGTTTGCAAGTCTCGCATTATTTTCGTTCTTTCTCCTATCCCATTTCGTCCCATGATGTCTTCATATCCATTGTTGTCCATGCCAACCTTGAACTTTAGGTCTCCCATCAGAATAGTCGAGTCCTTTGATGAGCATCTCTCGACGATTGCCTGCAGCCTCTCGTAGAATTGATCTTTAACGTCGTCACTGTAGTCGTTGGTAGGTGCGTAGCATTGGAAGACGTTTATTGTAATCTCTTCTTTCTTTGTTTTGATGGGTCTTTGATGATCTTGTGTCCACGAGATTCCCATCCTATCAGTGGTGCCTTTTGTTTTGGTTTGGACAACATCGATGCAACTCCTTGTGTGTGGGGCATTTTCTTCTTCATATCTGGGGTACAGCAGCAGCTCTCTTGAAACTAATCTCAGTTGTGCAACTTCTATTCGATGCGCTTCACTGATTCCAAGCACCTCCGGGTTGTATCTTTTCATTTCTGCTGACTTTACTAACTTACTTACTTACGCCTGTTACCCACAATGGAGCATAGGTCGCCCACCAGTTTTCGCCAACCAACTCTGTCCTGGGCTTCTCTCTCTAGTTCTGTCCAATGTTTGTTCACTCCTCTCATATCTTT